TTACGGGAGAGACAGGCCCACGTTCAACCGTAGGTGGTGGGGGGAATGAGCTTGGGAAAGGCGGCCGGCCCTCATCGGCCTTCTCTAGGTCAGACATGATGGCAAGGAACGCTCTGATTCCAATGACCATGCGATCCGGATCGAGCTGTTCCACCTTCAAGTCTTTGTTGGATACAAATAATTCCGCATTGATCAAGGGGAAGATGACATGCTTAAAGCAGTATTCGGGCTGCTTGTATCCGATGATTCTGATGATTTGGATCACCGGCTCCGTCACAGCCGAGTCAGAGGCGATGAGACTGCGCTTAGTTGGTGGCAAAACCAACTTCATCACCTCGTCGAGCTTTCTGTTCGTATTAGGTAGGGTATCGTTGGTTCGGTACAGGTATGTCCACAGCAGCCTCGCAATCACCTGGAGGCATAATGGCCGTGTGAAGCGGTCCTTGAGCTTCGGCTGAAGAGGGAGAATCAGCTGGAGCCATTGAGATCCAAATGTGTCGGGAGGCGAAACGCAGAGCAGCGTTGCTGTCAGGGGAAAGGCGAATCCCCAGTGCCGGGGCTTGATGAACATTTGCGCCAGGCGGGGACCGATTGCACCGAGAACCTCGATCCATTTGGGATGCGCGAGGTCTTGGTTTGTTGCTTTGGCGGCTACAGTGAGCAAAAGCGTCTCAAGCACCTGGCAGAAGGCTGTTTTCACTCGCTGGCCGTGCGAGCGATGGAACAGGCGTCCAACGGCCACCATGAAGTCGCACGAGTGTTCCCAGGCCTCCGGATGTGACATGTTGACTTTGAGATGCTTCATCCCGCCTAGGACTAGCTCAATCTTGCCCTCGGCATCGCGACCTGCTGGTGATGTGGGACTTTTGGCAACCAATTCCTGAAGGGATCGTTCTAGGTCTCCAAGGAACCTTTCCGTGACGCCCCTGAAGTTGATCTCGCTCATGACGCCAAGAAGCTGCGAAAAGAGATTCCAATTGGCAAGTTTCAGCGGGCTGACCATGAGCTGCTCTGTGTCGGCAATCTTTAGCTGGCCAAAGATGATGCCCTCCAGCTTCTCCTCCATCTCCAAAGTCAAGAAAGGGAGACTCGTTTGACTAATGACCTCCAGAAGCACACGGCAGAGTATATAGATCGAAACGGTAGAACGACGCTCGGCGTGTGCCACGAATTCTTGTTTAGCGGCCAATGAAGTCTGCGGGCTGGTCAGACCATTGTCCATGGCCCCGGGCAGAGGCTGCAGAGGCTCGGTGTTCCGGCGTTGGAGTGGCCCTGGTGCCGCACCCCTTGATTGCTGCAACTGACTTCGGGCTTCGTTGGCCGCGTCGCTTTTGCTCTTCCTCCACAGCATCATGGAATCTATAAGTGGTTTCGGTCGCGGCCTGGCAATGTGGCCCAAGGCGGTAATGATCTGGTCGAAGGATGGGTCGACCCCCGGGCCGCAGATCTGCTCGACCTGCGGTTCGGGTTCAAAGGGAACTGTGATGCAGTCATTGAGTTTCTCCTCGGCTTGCGCAATAAACTAGAAAACGGGTTATTATCAGATGTTTTTGTTTTTCCACTTTTGCCGCGCGAGATGGAAGCGGTCTTCACAACTTACAGATGTGAAGAGCACATGCAAAGCGTATTCTCCAACAGTCTTTTGCTCATCCCTGTGGTGTTTGGAAGAATGGGAGTGGTGGTGTGCGTGTTCGCGCCTCGTCTTGCTATGCATTCGTTCCACCTTTCTCTGTGTGGCGGAGGCATTGGAAAAGTCGGTAGCTGAAGATGTTCTTTCGGGGACAATGGGCCCAGAGTTGACGGTGGTGCCTGACATGGCGGTACCTGGGCGCAACCCCGGAGGCGCGTCCGGGTCTAGACGGCTAACGGCGTGCATATCGGGACGTTCTGGGGTGAGACCCGCGCCGGCGGCAGCAATTATCTGCGGGCTGAGAGGACTCGAAGACGTGCTGGCGTGACTTCCATTTCTAGAGTGTTGAATGCCGTGAACTATGGAGGTCTGACGATGGTGACCGTATGACGCGCTCTTGGGATCGATGAGTCGTTCGATAACACCGCCGAGGCCTCCTCCTGCTCCTGTCCGAGACTGGGCGTGGGCGTGGGTATGTGTTCGAGGGGAGATGTTGGAGCCGGAGATCGGAGGGAGCGGGTGGGAGGAGAGCTTTTCGTAGGAGGAATCGCGGGAATGGGTGACGGAGCGAGGCAGCGGAGGATGAGGATGGGGTTCGAGGGCGGCGGGTCGCAGGGTTCGGTCCCAATCGGCGTCGTCCTCGTCTTCTTCGTCGAGGGTGGTGACGGATCGTGGAGAGAACTTTAACGGCGGGTCCTGCAAAAGATCGGGCAGCGTCGCCTGGGACGGAGCTAGACGAGACGACGTCTTATGGTTAGTGACAGGCCTTCCCCTCTCTTGTGAAACGGCAGACTGCGCGTAGGGACGCAGACGGGGTGGATGTTTGTATGCGTTGGACGTTTTGAAGGTGCACAGATGTGTGGTCTAGCACACGGAGAGCCCAGTGCAGACCAGAAGGAGAATAGATGCGACGAAGAGAGTACACTTTGGGACAGGAGAGGGACAATTGGGGACCGCGATTAGGTAGGGAGGGCGCAACGCTAAGATCCAAGGGTCGAAGAGCAACGCAGGGCAAAGCCGCACAAGCAACCTAATGCCAACGGCCAGCGGAAGCCAGGAGAGCCGCACCACAGACAGGGTCGACCAGATTCGAGTTGGGCCTGGGCGTGAGCAGAGGCACAGAGGGAAGCCGCGCGAGGCTGGAGGTTTACGGGCCCAATGTCTGTGTGTTGCGTGCGAGCTGGCTTTGTGTGTAGCGGATGGGTAGCGCGCGTGTGGTTTGCGAATAAGGTAAGGTGGTGTTGCCGGTGGACGTAGTAGCGTTGGTGGTGGTGGTGGTGGTGGTGGTGGTGTAGCACGGGACGATGAGCAACCCTTGATGGCCGTCGGAGGAGGGCCCAGGAAGACGAAGACAAGGCGAGAAAAAGGTCAGGCCAGACTAAGGTATTCCGTAACCTTGCCTATTTACCTCATGGCGGGCCAGGGAGAGATAGAGACGGGACGAGACGAGACGAAAAGAGACGAGGGAAGCGCGTTCGTCGTCGGCGAGGATCCGTCACGTCGTACGTAAGGCAATGCGGCGGCGCATGACATGACACAAAAGGCAAAATAGAGGGCCAAGCGAGGGTGAAAAGGCTGGGGGCAGGTGGGATGGAACTCGGGGAGCAATGCAAGCAAGGCTCCAAGCTCGAGATGCTTGGCTTCAGCGTGATGTGGATGAAGACTTGACTTGACGCAGCTATGCGGGGGAATGGGAAGGTAGAGAGAATTGCCAATTGAGAAAAGTTGTAACTCACCCATTGTTGCGTCGGATCGAGTCCCATGATCCGGGTCTTACGGCATTCGAAGGTTTGTGCACCGTCGCTGGTGGCCGCCACAAAGTATCGAAGATGGACGGAATCGGGTGGTGAGTTGGTGGGATGGGTGGATGATGAAGGATGACGGATGAATACTATCAAGAAACGTGGCAGCGGAGGAAAGAAAAGGATCGGATCCAATTCAAGTCGGACTACGGAGTAGAATGGCAGAATAGGACAGACAGCAATTGGATTAGGATTGGATTTGGGGGGGGGGGGGGGTTTACTCCGTATAGGTCGGGTACACGGAGTATTTTGATGATGGCGCTGGCAAGTTCAAACCGGTGGGTAATTAATGATGAAAGAGCATGTCAATCATGATGATTGGGGAAGGCAGGGCCTTTGGGGCCCTTTTGGGGGGATGGTAGGTAATTGGGAAAGGAGGCCGAGCAGCAAGACCAGCCCGTTCCAATCCCAATCCTAATCCCGATTCAAATCCAATATAATAATCTTGTTCAATAAAGCAACCCAAGAAGAGAAAGTCGGACACAGACATGCCCATTCAGTCAATCAATCAAATCAACAGGTACTTCGTACGGATACCTTGGTCAGTAAATGCCAGTTAATACCAACCAAGTGGGAATCGACCCCAATCAAACCCGGTACCAAGCTGCAAGCTTGAAGCACCAACCTCTCCTCTCCCAGCTTCTCTCTTTTTCCAGGACTCCTCCTCATACGAACATGGCATTCTGATCCATTGGTCATTGGATAACACGTTCAACACAGCCCTTTCCTTCTGCTAGGGTCTTGTATGGCTGTCTACTGCACGAGTCCATGGCTGCTTTGGGTTGCTGCCACCGAACCTATAAACCCGCCAGACCAGCCCAGAAAAGAAGCAGAAGAAGCAAAAGAAGAAGAAAAGGGCACCATTGGCCGTTGGAACCACCGAATACCGTACCATTCCTCACCATGCTCCCTGCCTACATAACTAGGGGACCAGGGGTGCGAAAAGAAGCATAAGGCAAGGTATTGCCTGGGTGCCTTGCTCGCCTCAATTACACGCAGCGTCCACACATCCGAACTCCGTAGGTACCGTCCGACTACTTTTCAAGTACGGAGTACTGCGTAAGGTATTGTCGCTTCTCGGAGCCTCTGAGGTCATGATGTTTTCTTTCTTATGCTCGTCAGCCACGGCCACTACCCAATGCAACTTCACCAATCCAACAAGCCATCAATGCCTTGTCTTGCTCCCGCCTGTCTCTCCTCTCTCTCTCTCTCTCTCTCTCTCTCTCTCCAAGTCTCACAGGACCACCAGAAAAGAAAGTCAACAGGGTCTCATGCCGGTCCCATGTCATGCCTTTGCCTTTCCCCTCTTTCCCCTGATCCTGAGCCATCCGCTGCCCAAGGCACCGCGAGCTATGAGATCACATATGGCTTCTCGAGGTCCTCTCCAAATTGAGACCTGCACCTCTCATTCGGCATCTCCCTGCCAGTCCCTGAACCTGAACCTGCAAAGCCCTCGTGGCCCTCTTGTTCGGCTGTAACCTGTACTCCGTAGGTAGGCAGGCCATTGATGATGTCCATGTTCGTCTCTCAGATGCACATCCATATTGCCTCGCTTGATTCGCCCACTGGCGCATCACCGTCTTTGCCGTAGTCCAACATTCGGCGCCAATCACCATCTTCTGTCAGACACTAGCAGAGTGACCCGAGATGTGGCTTCTTTAGCCCGGAAACCTTCCCTCGCAGGCCAAATCGCCAGAGTCCGTCACAAATTTTCTCCATAGCACCGGCCACGCGACAAGGGGGGCATCTATGCAAGGGCCACGCCCAATCAGCATCTTCCACAACCCACTCGACGAGGGGAAGCATTGGTCCACCGTCCAATAGTTGAATGGTCCTAGGCAGACAGGCACGATAGGCTGAAGGGTCCCTAAGACGGGGAGGGCCAAGCCTCGACTCGAGGGCTTAATAACGGACGACCCCCCGTAAACCCCTGGGTGTGCTGGAGCTTGCTGGGAATGGCCCGGGGACGGAAACATTGGCCGAGCTGTGCATCTGTGAGGCGGGCGGCCGCGACGGGAGTGCGGGTAGGCGGGCATTGATTGTCACGGTCCCATCCAGCTGAACACTTTCAACATTGTCATGCCCACGAGGCCAAGCAGCACTGAGAGGTTGGCCCGCACTTTGTAAAACAAGAATCACTCTTGATCAACCCAGAGTTCCGTTCGTGCATCGCAATCTGGTCTCTTGATCTTCAGCTGCTCCTAATTCCCTAGGTAAATGATTGGTCTATCAAGTCAGTGTCAACTTGTAACGCAGCCCACATATGTGCACAGTCTGTCGCCTAGCAAAATACCGCATCATCTTTGAGCGTACAGACTTCCTTGGGGTTTGATCCGGTGATATTCATGCTCGTGCAGACGCAAGAGCGGGTTGCCGTGCGGTCCCCGATGGCATATTCTGACTCCGCTGGCCAACTCAAAGAAACAGGCGATGTGTCACGTCGATGCCGGGCGACCCAAATATCCGTACATAAAATGTCACCGTGGTGTCGTGGACATGTGTCGACGATCAACGGGCGGCAAGTGAAGTTGGTATGGGTGAGACTTGCAGCGCGAGAACCATTTCTCTTCCCAATACTGATGCTCGCAGGCTGCGGCACATGCAGCATGGTTGCCGTTAGTATTGTCCGCTGCACGGGTGGACTGGAAATATCCGAACAATATCAATCCCAGTTCCCGCTTCAAATCAGCCAGCATCCAATGCCGTCGATCGGCGGTTCTAGACTTGATGCTGTCACATCTCGCAACCGCTGCAATGGCGTCTTCTATTCTTCTGCGAGTAGCCAGTGGCGGAGAGATGTCTGTGGTGGGTTGCCCGACTGTTCAACGAAGATGACTGGTACGGAGGACGCTCGTTGCCCCTGTCGGCGCTGACCGCGTGATAGCATCACATTCAAGAGGTTGGTTCCGTAGTCAACGCCAAGCACCCCGGCCATGTAGAAGGTGAGAAAAGAAAACACGGTAATTTTCGACACTCGCGGTGGGGGCAGGCGATTTGAAGGCAGCTTGTCGAGGAATTCAACTCTATCACGCTTGTACGAGAAACGGGCTATGGCGAGGAAATCGACGGTACTGCCAGTCCAACGCCGTTGGCAGAGGCTGACTCCCTTTTAACGAGACAAAGTTGGCACATTGTTCGGTGGGATCTGCACCGCTTGCCATTCTCACGAGTGTCACTCGAACCCTAGGGCCTAGGCTCTAGCCGCAATTCGATGATGTTAATCGCTTGAAGGCCTTATTTCGCTTCTATTTCCATCAGCAAACATGGGCGTGGGGGTGGAACGCCGCTTGCAGACAAAGAAGCGGCCCAGGTAGGATCAGAGTGGGTATCCGCCGGTGGCGGAGAGCCAGGACTGGCGTCAAGGTCCGAGACCGAAGCTGCGGTGAAACCCTCCAAACCGCCCGGAGAGGCCAGCTGTCCCGTAATCTAGGCCCGGTGCCTATGCTGGATCGCCAGCAAAGAGCTCCGGTGATTGTTTCGGATGCTGATCCGGTCTCACTACGGCAGTGACGGCGTGGCTCACCATCCTGGCTAGACGAAAAGGCTGAGGCAGGCAGTGACGATCTCTCTCCTTCATGTTATCGCCGGCCGGCATCATGGAAGCAGCGGACTTTGGGACGGGCCCGGCGCACCGTGATGCCGTCGACTGATGGGCTCCACTCCACGGACAGTGTGCAAACAGGGACGGCCGGGAGAGTTAGGGTGGAGGGTGGTTGAGACGGCGGGCCTATTGAGGCACACAGATTCCGCGTATTCGTGTTCGGTTTTGGATTCTCTACCAGTCCGATATCCCAGTTGACAGTAAAACGCCTCGCCGATGATGATCATCATAAGTACGCGAACACAATGCGTCGACTCCCGAGATGAAGGCTTTGGAGAAAACGTGTTCGAGAAGCATCGAGGTGCGGCCCGCGTGGATCACCGCTGCGCCCTGGCGCCGCTCGGAGTGGTCTGAGATTGTTAGGCCGAGTCGCCGTGTCATTAAGCAAAAGCTTGGGTCGTCGGAGGCTTCGGCCGAAACAAATGTGGCTGTCATTGATGAAGACGTGGCCTGAAATGGACTGCGTCAGTTCCTTGCGACGGAACCCGAGGCACCGGGTAGCCGCGGAATGGACCAGCGGTTAAGGCAATTCATATGTAGCCTGGTGGGAGAGGTCAACGGTGCGTAAGGACTGAGACAGGTGATGCAGAGTACCGTGTCGAGTACACTACAGATGCCAAGGAACCGCATCCTTACTGTATCCGTACGCAGTAGGTAGATAATCAGTTGGGCATCTTCGTGCCAGAACTGACTGCAGTACTCAGGGTAAAGTCGTGGACTGTTGGAGGCTTGTAAGACATGACACAACAACTGCCGTGGTGCCGTGGCGAGGCGGCATGAAGTGTGGGCTGGGCTCGTTATCGGTCTCGCGGGGTTTCCCTGCGCCAGCTTGGGCTTGTGGCAGTGACCAGCAGTGACCATGTGGGCTACCGTAGTCATTCGTGTGCCAACCCAATCGAATAGTGTAGGAGCGGAGAGAGAATGGGACGGGAGAATGGGACTGCTACTGCGGTGTCATCAACGATGAATGATTCAACGAACCACCCGAGTCAGACGCACCGTCCCCTTGTTGGCATGCATAGGGTGGGATGTGCTCCGTATGGAGAGGATAGGATAGTCCACTACCTGGAGTATTAGCGAACTGTTCTGATTCCTGAATTCTTATTATGGACGAAGGAGCGGTCCGTCCACGCCTCATCAGACCATCTTTAAGAGGCTTGTAGAAAACCACGGTCTGTTTAGAGACCATGTACGGCGTTTATGGTTGTAAGAGTGTATGGCCATGCGGTGTGGCTGGCGGCAACAGAGAGTTGCTTGTTCGATTGTGAGCCTCTGCCGGTTTCCAGTTGACGATTGCCGCACAAAGCAACGAAGACTGCCGTGGCCGTCATGGAATAGAAGCAATGAGTGGAAGGTAAACCATAAACTTTCCGCGGTGGGACCTAGGCGTGGAGATATCTCGGCACCAACCCCTCGGGATCCGCTGGTCGAAGCTCCAAATCCGTCTCCTCCATTTTGAGTGGTTTGCTCCAGAAATGACTAAGCATATAGCCGAGAAGACCGTGCGTCTGGTGTGTACGTATCGAATGTTTGGCGGGGAGACGGTACATGGCAGCGGCAAGAACACCACGAAGAAGGTACGGGGTAGATGCTGTGTAGAGAGAGAGAATGGTGGAAGGTGCGGACTAATACAGGCTCAGAAATTGTCCCGTGGTTTCCTCGTTCTCAGTCTTGGGGCGGACTACCAAGAATCACCTACCTTATGGAAAGGGAAGGAAGAAAAGGTTGACAGTCCGCCCCGAAGCGGTGCGGTAGGCACATACAATGGAAGGTACCTAAGGTACGTAGAGGAATTATCTTGTACATGGAGAGGAAAGCACCTATGGAAGGTAAGGTACAGACGGGAAGGAAATTGAGCAACGGCTTTCCGCTGAGCGTGGGACAGAAAATGGAAGGAACCTAAGGTAAGGCCAGCTCGCTCTCGACTCGGAACGGCCCTGCCAAATCCTGGAACGAGAGCTTGCCAAAACCGACCCGACTAGAAGGTTGCTTCCTTCCTTCCAGATTGGCCCGGGCTTCCATGCTTCTCTCCAGGTTTCTGAGGCGCGGAATACATCCAAGCATCCGAGCCTTTCCTTGCCTTCCACGCCCTGCCTTGCCTCATTACGAATATTCGTACATTGCCTCACCTTATTACACAGTTACATAGCTTTTGTTACTTTGTTAGCTTAGCAAGGAAGAAGACCAAGTCAGCCCAGCCCAGCCCAGCGCAGTGTCCACAGACGATTGAATGCAACATGCCCGCTGGTCCCTTATCGCACTTCCGATCCAAAGTTCCGTCCGTTTCCTCGTGTGCTCCATTCCATGCGGCCTGTCCGCCCCGGCCTGCTTGCTTTGCTTGTCCTCATCAACTCCCGTCGAACGAGACGAGACTTCTGCAGCGCACCAACAAACCCCGTCGTCTCTTTTTACTTTCTCCTGACCTTGCCCTCTCCTACCCTTACTCTTCTTACTCTTACTCTTATTCTCACTCCCTCCGTCTGAGCCCTTCTTCTCAAATTCCTCCACCCTCCGCCGTTCCTATTTCTTCCCGCTGACTGTTCATCCCGAATCCGCTTACTGTTCACCATTCTCTCTTTATTCCGTACCGCACCCGGAGACAACTACAACACAACTCTCCCCGGCACTCTCACGCCTCACTTACTCTTCTTCCCGATCTCTCTCACTGTTCAGTGTTCACACGCTCACTCTTGCGTGTGTGCTTCCGCCCGTACCTTTCCCGACTGGGGTCTCGGCGTCCTTTGCACAGACCGGTAAGTCCACATGTTCTCCTTTGCCCGTGGACCCTAAAACCCCCGTCACCCCATCCCAGTGCTTTGGTCTGGCTACCTAGGTGTCAGTCAGCCTTTGGTCCCACGCTGTATCCGTACACTACCAAAACGGTTGCGCTGCAACTGGATAGGACACATAGTGTACCACCTCACTGTACTGTGTGAGGTCAAGTCTGGCCGTCATTGGCGGCGCCGGCACTGCTGGCACTGGTGCGTGTCCGAAACTCGGCATCACACTGTTTCCACTCTCCCCGACCGACGGGCTAAATCCTGGGTCTGACGGTCTGACCAGACTTCCCTTCTGGTTTTACCCACATCCTCCCACTCCTCCTCCACCACCGCAATCCACCATCTCTTCCTCCCGGCCAATTGTCGAATCACCCCCGCTGATCTCATGTGAACACGATTGCAGTATTCCGCTCCGTACCTTACCCTACTTTACCTCACGAGGCTTGGATTTCTCCAACTCCCTTCACCAACCGCCACTTCCCGCGGCTGTTAGATCACCCCCCTAAATAGTCGCCTACTTACGGCTGTCAACTCGGCAATCCCACTCGCATTCCTGAGCCGGTGATTCTTCATCTCCATCGCTCGCTTGCGACTTTTTTTTTTTAACCTCCTTGCAGCAACCCCGCCAAACTTCGGTTCTACAACACAATCGCATCTCGCTGTCGCGCATCAACTCGGAATTGTCAGTGCTTCCGAGCCGCAACCCTTCCGAGCAGTCCAGTTGAGTCCGACGGCCCAACATGGCGGAACTCGATACGCTGGACATCGTCGTCCTGGCCGTCATCCTCTTGGGTACGGCCGCCTATTTCA